TATATATACACTGTACATATATACAGTATATATAAATTTTTCATTTTGTTCTTAAAACATTGATTTTTATTGGTTTGATCCACCCTTCAAAACGCAAAAACTCAAAGATTGTGTTTGACGCCTTATAAATACCTTAAATCAGCCATGTTTAACTCTGACATTCAATTTAGACATTAAGAATACTAGTTAGGTACTAATTTAGCCTATTTTAACTCGTGCATCTCTTTAAAGAGCATTATTTAATGCCAAGTGTTAGCTCAGTCCAACAGATGGACAGGCTTATGACATTTAAATTGAAAAAAAAAAACAAACAGAAAATTAACTTTGCCTGTATTCCCACACTCAGAATGGYGACAGATGCTTCTTGTGTTCTGCATGAATCACTGCACGTCACATATTTATAACCCCACACAATGTCCTGAAAACTGGTGCGAAAAGCTGATAACATTCACACTTGAAACTTGCAAATAAGTCTCTATGTTGTGTCTCTTGTGTGTAGGCTCTAAATTATATGGCTTGCAGCTCACACATGGTGAATTTGAGCCTGAAACAAAAACACAGGGACACATTATCTACAAAAAAAGTTCATTTATCTAAAATAAGCCCATTAAAGAATCATACAAATAGTTATTTAATCATATCTAAACATTTATTAACTTTCTAAAAGAAATAACACAGTACAAAGATTTGGACTGATAAAGTCTTACAGTAATACTTTAAATAGTTGATTCAGTGAATAAATGACCCAAGAATCAATAATGAACAGAAAACTTGACTCAGAAATGATTTAAATAACAAAACACAGTGTAGCACAATAATAACGCAGCAGTGATTGAATATTTGTGGACTTACATTTCAACATTAACTTGTTCTAAAACATACGATCTAAACACAAGTGAAAAACATTGACAACAGAAGTTCAAATGAACAAATCAGAAAAAAAGACCTCATTATGTATTTACAGAGGAAAAAATGCTGTAATAAATGAGTAACAAGTAAGCTTAAGTTGCTTTGAGATATTTTTAATTAATAGTGAATATAGGCAGGTGTTAGGATTATTCAGTCATCCTGTTTAAATCATCGTAATGGAAATCAAGTGAGAGWGAAAGCTAAGGTTTATCTAAAGAATAGTGCTTTATTAAATTCTGATAACATCTGTWTAAGTGTAGTATGGCATAAACAAAGATATCTAAGAACTGCAGAAACACAGAGACTGTCTTAATCCTCTTTAGGCAAGAAAATGCAACTTCTAGATGCAAGAACAAAGATTAGTCACAGAGCATGGTGAGCTACAATGTAGCTCAGGATAATTTGCAGACTGCTACAATTGTCATCAATAATGGTTGACATTAATGTCAGTAAGATTTGTCTGCATGGTTTAGAACACAGTTATTTTTCCTTTTTAGTTTGAAGATTATAATACTGCATGGCGAGGCTGTCAAGAACTGAAGCAGTTGCTTCACTTTCTTCACAAACACCGAATTGGTGTGTTTTTTTTTTTTTTTTGGCAATTTTTCAGATCACAGCTTCATCTCGTCTTACTTTTCTTACACCCACATGTAGAAAGATGGTCAGTGGGTAGAACGGGGGTGACTGCTCGCTCTGTGGTTGAACTRCATACAGTAGATTGGTGGATGCTGTGCTGCTTACGTAATACGTGTCGTAGGAGGTGCTGTTAAAAAAAAGAAAGAAATGTAGCTGCTCGAGAAATGTCAGACTCAGCAGGGATCTGACACATTAGCAGCTTAGCTCACCACACGTAAAGACTGTAATAACCACCTTTTTATGGCCACTAATTAAACAAATGGGCAAAGAAAATAACTTCTATACATCAAACAGGGACATAAAAGCATATATCTAAATAGGCTGCATTGTTTTCTTTCTAATGTAATCAGCAAATGAGGAAATGTACAGAGGAGAAAGCAAACAACTTTACCCTTCTCTTTCAAAGATGCCATTTTAGTCAGGATTTGTCTCTTTCGTAATGCGAGTTGGTAACCTGTTTTTCTTTTGGGATTTCCTCTCCGTTGTTGAATCACCTCCTCCTCCATTCACATCCTCTGCTTCTTCTCCCTCTTTGTTAGAGCCAAGCTGGGTCTTCCTACGGATCTGCTTCCCTCTATGTGTCCAAAGAAAAACCAGAGAAATAGGGGAGTGTGAATGAACACTTGATTATGCAACCAGCTGAAAAGAATAACAATTAGTATTTTTTTAAATCTGTAAAATCCCAATCATCTAACACTTAGCAAATCCAAAAATAAAGATAAAGAAAAGCCTTCAACCAGACAACAGAAGTCCAGATTTATTTTTTTATTTAGATCTGTTTCAAAAAAGCTGTGCAACACAAAGTTAGACAGAAACCAGTTTTCACAATAACTTAAGAAAATGTTCTTTCATGGTATATTCCAGGCCCCACAATGAGCAACATTTATTTCCATTTGCCAAGTGGCATTTATTCTTGCACTAACAAAGGAAAATCTTTTTACAAATAGTATTCTGGGACACTACAGTATTAGTCAGTGACCTAAAATATGCATAAAATAAATWAATWAATTAAAACAAATTTAAAAATCAGATATTTTTTCTTCATTASTTGAGTTTTAGCTTAAAAACCTGATCGGTTTGCTCCCTGGTGCCCTCTGTCGCTGAGTGGAATATTGACTTCTTTGGGTCTCTTGTGCAGAAGACAGCTGTGAGAAACAAGTGATGAGTAATTTAAAAGAGGGGTATTTATTTTCCAGGCACATRGTTCAATTCTATCCCACAATCAAGTAACTGTGTTGCCTTGAGTTGTTATGAAAATGCTGTTTATATCCAAAATAAATGTGACTTCGCATCATATCGAAACACCTAGAAACTGGCCTCTGTCTCTTTAAGAACCTCCTACTTTTTCTGACACTCCTACTTCAACATGTCATCACAACAAATCTTCATGTCATTTACAACCTTTCATAGGAGGGTTGTATTTTGTGGTAAAAAAAGAAAAGAAGCAATTTATAATATTGGTTTTGGAAAATAACAACTCAGGATACAGTTGAACCTTATCCCACATCAGACCCAGAAAGTGCATTTTCTCAAGAACCAGAGCGAGTACAGAGGCTCTTACAAGATGTTTCAGCTTGGTAACATATCTCCCAGTTATCCTCTCATACATAAACGATAACGTCAAGCTCTTTTTTGCAAATAAACTATAAATATAGRTCATTAWAAAGTTTTGTTTTCATCATGAACACTTTTAAGATACGTTTTGCTAGTCTGGTGGAGCTGTGTGAGGGGAGGGGTGCTCTGTGGGGCAGAAGCTCGGCTGCAGACTGAGCTCCAGGGAGGAGCTTTGTGTAAATAGGCGGAGCTTTGTACCWGCAAGCGTTTAAGCAGCTCCACGTGGCGACTACATTAGATAGGATTTCTCAAACTCTGTGTAGATTTATGGTTTTACAACAGGCAGTCACGCAATGAAACATGCTAAATCAAMTTTAAAAATGTGTTTGTAAAATGTTGCAGCAGAATATAACTCAGAATAAGTCGGCATGTTGTCTTTATTACCATTTTGCACATCTCATATAGCTTAATCATCCTGTTCTGTGGTTGGACTTGAATGAGAAGAAACTCTGAATGCTCACCTTCGCAATTTCTGTGAGATAAGCCCGCCTCTCATCATTGGCTCTATGGAAAGCCTGAGAAGTAAAAAGAACAGAAAATCCCATTCTCACTTCCATTCATCAATCAAACTTATCTGTTTTTATCAGTTCATAAATGCAATGCTTAGTATTTGTTTAGTGTGTATTCTAGAAGCCTTTGGTGTTAATTAAGCAAGAGATTAGGGATTACTGGTTGCAAATACTGTGGGGGTAAACCTTTATTTAGCTAATATCCCACAGTCTGCTGAGCAGAACAATAAACAAAGAACCGAGTCACTAAACTACAATCATTCTCACCAAGTTCAAGACAAAAATTAGGAGCAAGCTTTGCATTAATGTTTACAAACTTTAAAATATAAAACAAAACTTTTAGCAAAATATTTTTTTCATTGGTTGGTTAATGATAATTTTTGCAACTGAAATAACTATTTTTTGGGAGAGAAAATACTTAACTATCACAGACTGACTTCTACAAATGCAATTCCTCTTCACTTACTGCGTACGAAGAAAAACGGGATTCAAACCTTTCCTTCGTGCTCGATTTGAAGGTGACAGTCCATTAGCTGACTCTGGAGGTCAGACCTCTTCTCGGTCAGGAGCTTTAAATGTTGTTTAAGTGTTTCCTGTACAAAACAGATGTTATTATTTACAAAATACCATGTCAGAGTGTCATTCTGCTTCAGAGTAATTAAAAGCTGATTTGTATTACATTTTTTTTATTGATTTAATCGGAAAAGATTACAAAAAATCAAGCCTGACTCAGCATAATTGCTGTTTTACAGCAGGTTCCTGTTCTGCAGCACAGAAAACACTCAGAAWTACAGCATCACAATCACATCATTATACACCGTAGACTCAAAGACAAACAAGCATATCATTGCGCCATATAAAAGGGTTAGTCAGTAAGTGGACAGTTAATGCTGAAAACAGGAATACAGAAGCAGATTAAACTCATTATTCATTCACTAACTACATGTACATACAGTGGTTTGCAAAAGTATTCATACCCCTTGAACTTTTCCATATTTTGTCACATTACAACCACAAACATAAATATATTTCACTGGAATTT